GAGTTGTGATAAGTTACTCGGGGATATGACAGTGACACGATAATGACACAGGGCCTTTGGGTTCACTACACAGGAGATCACCGGGGTTGCTCCAAGTGCTGCCCTAGATCATGGAGGTCTGCTCTGAAATGGAAACCCCCCACCTCCCTCTCCCCATCCCGACATCTGAAATAACCTTCTGCTGTAGTCTTTTAGGTAAAAATAAAATTGTTCCATCAAAAGCATGACACCTCCCGATCAAATCTTCATGTTGAAAAAGAAGAGCTGAGCGGAGCCTCCTGGCTTCCATCAGAGGGTTGTAGTCGATGTGATACTGATACAAGGCCCACTGGGGACGCGACGTCAGCCGGAAGTGGTTCGTGCTCAGCCTCACTATAATACCCGAAGAGCCTGTGAAAGCAAGGCATGCTCAGTCAGCCAGTTACCAGGTTTGTCCTCCCGTGAAATCGCTCCTGGGTGACACGGCAGACACCGTCCTGTAACCCAAAGATGGAGCAGCAGACACCACAGGCATTCCCAGACATCCGACTGTGGGGGCCCCTAAGTCTACCTAGGGGAACTCCTAAAAGCACACATTTAGAAATAAACTTACAACTGACCCAACCAGATCTCCTTATGGCAGAGAGTTTTACAAGAGAGAAGTGACTGATGTACTATTTAATGAAAAACCTTTCCGTGCCGCTGAAGGCACCTGTGACCACATCCTCAAAGCCAAGGGGAGAGAGGACCACGCAGCATCCTGGACCAAATGTGTCCTTTCTTTCTGGTTACGTGACAGACAAGAGGACCCATAAGACAAAGCACTTCGATGCGCTGTTCTGAGGACCTGACGAGCGGGCACACGAAGCGTGTTAAGAATGAACCTACCTGTTTTTGACTCTTTAACATGGTCCAGGTTTTGTCTTGTGTTCACACCGAGGTCATGGAAATCTCGTCGACGACCTCCTCTCTCTGATAATGATAACTCCTGAAATCCAGCAGAAATCTGGACTTCTGAAAAAAAAAGAAAGGAAAATTAAACACCCCAGTAAAGGGAACAGGAAACAAAGAACAAAGAACCCTCTCTTCCACCCACAAACACCAGAACTAGCTCAGAACTGCTGACTTCTGGACTTCTCCGTCAGAGAAGCAACAGTAGCTTAAACACAGTGTCAGTTCTGGACATACCGTGGAAGCATCTTAATGTGAGCTTCGAGCTCTTCATCTGAAAAATTGAGGATAATGAACTTCACAGGAATGCAGTAAGTTTATACAAGAACATCACTTACAAAGCACTTTACAGGAGCTGCTAAACACAGTTCCTGGACCTCGCTTTCAGGGGCTCGACATATTGAAAGGTCCTTTAAATATGTCACTGCCCCTGTCTTATCTGTCACCCTCAGCGAAAATGGTTTATTAACGAATAAGTGAATTTACAATTTGTTTAGAATTTAATTGCCTTGCCATCCTTGGGCTCTGTCACGGACATGCTCTTTTCATTTCTAGGGAGACAGGAAAGCCTGTGGCACCCTGCTGTGTAGCAGCTGCACAGTGTGAGATCGTCATGCTCTACATTTATTTAGCTTGTACACTGGTTACCGTGTCACGTCTCTTTCTCTCTCTCACACACACACACTCACACACACACACACACACACACACACACACACACACACACGGTCTTTTCGCTCTCCCTTCACCTTGTGACTTGGCTGTTGCTCCCACTGGTCCTCTCAGTCGTCCACGGGCGACCAGCTCCCCGTCTGCCGGGGGCTGCTGAGGTCTCGGCTGAGTGAACCCAGGCTGCTGACTCTNCGTATCAAGTCATCAATTCACAATAGATACACATATCAAGTCACCAATTCACAATAGATGCTCGTATCAAATCATCAATTCACAATAGATACATGTATCAAATCACCAGTTCACAATAGATACGTTTATCAAACTATAGTAAACTCACATAAGCTACAGTCAGTCATATCTCAGTAAAGCTGGAGAATAAATCCACCCACCCACTGCTGCCCAGATCCTAGGGCTCCAAGTTTAGGAGCGTTCCAGAGCCGAGTGTAGCCCTCACTCACCACTGTATTCTCCAGCTCAAACCCAGGTTCCTGTCTTCCTTCTCTACAGCCCCCAACAAAATTGCCTCCCCGCCCTGGGTGTCTCCTTTATTCCAGACAGCATGCCAGTGACCCGCCTTGGCGTGTGAGTAGATGAGGGGCTAAAACAGCCACTACGTGGAGCCCGCTTACTTCTGAGGCGAAGCGCCACGCATACAGCGTCACGAGGGCTGTCGCCTCATCATGACATCTGTGTGCTGGATATTGGCATTGATTTTTATGTTTGGGCCTTTCTGTTTCCCCCATCTTCTAGGAGAATTAAAGCCACTGAGTCCAAATAAATTTAAGGCGGCTTAGTTTTCCCGTCCCTTCTCCACCGTCGCAGCGCACAGCTCCACGGCATACGGGAGCCAGCATGGATGTCGCTACTGTACGACGGTGACACATATACTCTGTGGCCAGCTGGGGACTAATTATAATATTTGGGAAATGAGCTCGGGTTCTGAGATTTACAGATGCCCCTTTAAATCAAGCCATCCCAGGAGCACCGCCTACGGGTCCGTTAGCGACTTGCCATCTGGGTCTCTGATGTAACCTTCTGCTGCAAGGCTCTTAAATAGGCTTCGGTTCTGTCGTCCACTTCGATCCTAGAATGGAAACATGAGTCCACAGTCAGAGAAAGGGCGGCAAGTGCACCGTGTGTTACAAAGTCCCCGTGCGCTGGGGTGCAGGCAACACTTCCGTGTCAGGCACGAGACAGAACACCAAGAGTGGCCATTGGAGCAACAGCTGTCTGTCACACACGCGAGCAGGACCTTGAAAATTCTCAGTCACTGAAATACGTCTGTGTGTCCACGTCACGTGGAGCTGTATCACAGCGTTGAGACAATCAAGTTCTTAATTCTCCTATTGCTCCTGAGTCCCCACACCCTCCAAGTGGCCACTCATTTTCAGGGAGAAATAACATGGTGAACTTACATGATGGCCTTTTTCATTTGTATGCCCATGGCTGGCGTGACTTTAAACAGGTTTTGGACCAATGAATTGGCCGCTTCATAATTTCTCCGCGTGTAGATCAGCAGCCAGTTGTCAAGCGGCTTAACGCTAATTAACGGAGCACCTCTTGTCTCTTTAGACCAATCTGCAAACTGTGGGTTGTAATCAAACTGGAAGAAAGTTGGAGACTGTGAGCTCTGTGCGTTCCCATGAGAAAGCCAAAACGTCGTCAATAACGCCCCCACGGCACGGTGGGGACCTCAGCGGGCCCCCTGACCCTGGGGCAGCAGTGATGGACAGAGTGCCCTCGGAAGGGGGAAGATACAAAGCGTGTCCAAGGAGGATGGCAGTTGTTAAAAATACTCATGTCCACAGCTGCCACCCAAGTGCCCACTGGCACCAGGGACCTGTCCTACGAAGACAGGNACAATGACCAGCTTTGTGGTTTAGAAGACAGTGAAGCCTTTCAACTTTACAGGGTCATTTAAAACGTGCTAAGAAGAGGCTTTAATGACCCAAGCCACTGACGAGCCACGAAACTGCGTTAAGAATCTGCCCGTCATCTGACCCTGTGCCCCTAGCACCGTGGCCCGTCCCTCCTCGTGTCTCTTTTCCGGCATCCTAAAACTTCAGGCCTGGGTTTCGTTTCTTCTCATCTTTAGAAATCAAACAGGTTTCGAAACCTGAGCAAACAGCCAAGAACCAGATCAACAAGTTACTAGCTCCAAAAACTGGAAGGAAACAAAGGTTTTCATTCATAATGTTACTAAGGCTGGGCCTGCATGGCACTCGCTCCACACGACCAGGTGCAGCAACAGGAGGACAGCGCTTCACTGAGTCCCCGGACAGCGCTGCGGTGCTGGGGTCCATCCCTTCCTCTGATGACATACAATCACGCATTCACTTCAAGCCGACTCTCTGCTAACTTTCCTGAAAAGCCCTTACAGGTATGTCGCTGTGACAGAATTCCAATGAGCAGCCTCACAGCACACAGCCTGCCTCGTCGGCGCCTCCTGACAAGCTCCGAACCCCAGCCTCGTGCTTCGAACGCTGCAGGCAGAGGCGCTACCCACCCGTCTACTCGGACATGAACTTCAGAAGTGGCACCAATTCAGCTTGGAGCAATAGACTGAGTATACGCTCCAGCAGTTTAAAAAACACATAAATGGAGAAAAGTGCATATGCTTTCAGGAAAAGCAAAAAGTACACTGTCATTCAAATAAGGTGACAATCACTTCAATTTTATTTGATAATAGAATGATTCCCAGTTGCAAAACAAAATAAATAGAATGTTAATATAGGCTAAACAAAATAAATAGAATGTTAATATAGGCTACTGGCCTCTTGTTAAAGAATCTTAAAATGTTTCTTTGGACAGAAATTTAAAACTTTTCAACTAGCTTCTATTAACCGCCATACCACTTAGCCCCAAAATGAAAACCTGAGCTTACGTCTCCCTGGTGGTATGCTGTCTCTCAGTCATTCAGTGGTGGCTTTTGTCTTTAAAATAGGGAGCTATGAGACACCCAAATAAAGCTCTAGCTGACGACTGACCCGAGCTTCCCACTTATGTCTTTTCTCCTTTAAATTCAAAAGAAATATTTCAAAAGGTTAATATAGAGGTTCACAAGTAGGGCTCTCACTCCTGAAAGGATTTTCAAGTAAATCTCCACTTTTCAAATAGCTTAAGACTCTGTTTATAACAGAGAACCTTACCCACCTTTCCCAACAGAAACAAAAAAATCCTCACAGTATATTTATAAGCAAACAAGATAAAATGTAAAACCTTAATTTTTACCTCTAAGTCAGTTAATAGCAATATTACATTTCCTAATTCCCTTCCCAAGTTTAATCTAGAAAGGTAACGTTAAAAAAATAAGCTTGAAAAAAATCCCATTTATCCTTTCCAAAAGCAAAGCGGCCCCTTGCTCACGCCCCGCAGGTCACAGGTAGTACAGGCGGCTGGACAGGGACAGGTTAGGCTCCCTGTGGATGCTCTGGCCCACGAGGAAGGCCAGCTTGTGTGCGTACTGGCACGGAGCTGGCACGCGAATGACACCCTTCAGTGGAAGAAAGAAAGGTGTTATTACTCAGAGCCTCCTGTCTCTAGAGCTCAGTATTAACTATAAACGCCTTTGAAAGCACAGCAATTCCACTTTGACAAGTGCCTCTCATGATGGGAATAAACATCGACTGTAAGAATACTTACTGGCCAGTTATAATAGACATGACAGAGCTTGTACGTCAGCCTCTGTATGTGGTCTGGCTTCAGGCCACTGCTGTCATAGATGACATTGTAGTGTGTGGGGGAGACACTGCCACTTCTCACGGCCTGGCTCACAATAAAGAAATCATACCTGGAATTACAGAACAAAGCAGACTGCACGTGAGGCTCGCCTTTCTGAAGGCTCATGGCAAGATGACAAGTTCCTTACACTGCGGAGGTCCGTGGACTAAGGGACCTACCTCCTCAAGACGATGCTCCCTCGGGGTCCAGGAACTTACCACGGCCCACTCGGGACCGCGTGCATGTGAAAGCTGCTTAAGACGCTGTGCTGTTCGCTTTCAGCACGCGTCACGAGCCTGTGGCACTACAGATACTTGATATGCTGCTCATCACGGCACACCGACTGCCCCAACTCCCACCTGCACATCGGCACCGCCTTCCCAAACACGTTTCTGCACAGACCCTCGCCCGACGGCTGTTCCGGCTGTTCCCTAACTAACTGCACCCATTAGGGATTTAAAGCAAATCCGAGAGGCAGAGAACATGAAAGGGTGTAAGGACAACTACACGGGCTCAAATGGCGAAACACCAGGTAGCATGACTGCAGAGAGTACCAAAGTCACCTGGGGCCCAGGAGACACGAGGCAGAGGGCTGGCGTGTGAGCCGGTGACGATGGCAGGGGGCTGTGCACCGTGCTGCCCGCTGTACGAGAGCCGGACGAAAGTAGACCCCGTGGGCACAAGCACATGTGGGCTTTAGGAGGAATGTTAGATGACCTGCCCGGAACCGACGTCACAGCAGCGAGGGCACAGCCTCAGCACCACTCCAAGTGCTGGCAGTGAGAGGATGGGTTTCTCCAGGTGCCCGAAGAGCCGGTTAAGTTTAAGTAGAGTCTANGTTCCTGGTACCCTTGGGGCGTGGAACATGGCTTCCTTGGTGGGCTCCTGCCTCCTCCATCGTCTTGTTTCTGACAGGCCGACTGAGGCCGGGAGGGACATGTCTGACCACAGCGTCCCGCATCACAGCCAGAAATGGCCACTCACCGCAGCAGTGCCCACGTGTTGCACTGTCTCCTGACCTCGCGCTCGCCCTCTGGCTCTCGCTCTGGCTCGCCCAGTCATCGTGTTCTTGCTTGCAAGGAAAAGAACGAGAGGACGGCACTCAGGGTGCACACTTACTTCTGACTGTCTATACGGCACCTTAAGCCGAGTTGGTCAGGAAGTCTAAAACCAGCTCCTGTTCTAACTCTCTCACGTACAGTGTCTTAAGGCACGAAAGTCCCGCCTTCAACACACTTCAGTGCTGACTCCGGACGGGGCACTGTGCCAGGTGGGAGGGCGCAAGTGGAAGACTGATTTTAATATTGTTTCATGTTTCAGTTGATCTAGTATAAACAGTTGGAAAAACTGTGAAGAGACTGAAGGTGCCCACGGTAACCAGTTTTCCTATGGAAGCTACTGTGAAACTGGGCACTGCCGGCGAGTTTCATGCCAGGCCCTGGCATAGTCCTTACACACACCTACTGCCTCCTCCTGGATCTCCCACAATTCCATGTTAGCTTAAAGTTGACATCCCCAGACAAGTATCTTTCCTATCACATCATTTATGTCCATAATCTCATTCTCGGTGTGTGGCTCACCAGCCACGTGGTCTCTAAAGAAACGTGACTGAGTCATTTCTCTCAAAATGACACCTTTACTGCGCCTCCCTCACATGACCCAACCACTGACTGTTTCCATGTTTGCACCACCACCACACTACNTACTTGTTGCCTGGCTGAAAACTCCCTCACGGACAGGCCGTGTGAGCTGATGCATCGTCGTGATGCAAGAGCCATGAATTGTTGGCAAAAAGTTCAGGTCGTCTAACTTTTTCATGCAGCCTTTTCAGCACTTCCAAAAGTAAACTTGGTTCACTGTTTGTCCAATTGCTACAAATTCATAAAGAATAATCCCTCTGATATCAAAAAAGGTTAGCAACGTCGTTGCAACAAGTTTGCAAACTTAATTGTCAGACCTGGTATATGCCGTTTAACGCCCCCGCCACATCAGCTGTCCAAGCTGTGAGGGTGTGAGGGAGGCCCCACGACCTGTAAGGCGCTGGACTAAGGGCCCAGGAGGAGCGGTGGGTGGGAGACGACAGCACGTGCACACACCCTGACACAGGCCAGCAGACCAAGCACGTTCCGTGTCCATCGCACAAAAAGACGTTAAGTCCGGCACCTCTGCCGAGCGCGCAGTTTGAAACACCTCAAGTGCGGTGCGGCAAACGAGGTATCCCTTGAAAATTGTTGCTAGGTCGGCCCTTCAAATGGTCTCCTCATCCGACTTCCTGCATCTCAGTTACTGGTTCACAGTGCATGGGGGCCAGGGGCATCACTGCTCGCTCACCCCTCGGCCCCCGCACGTCACCCTCTAGTCCTTATGTCAACTTCTCAGCTGGCTTCCCTGAGTCCAGACTAAACTATCCCCTAGTGATCGTGCAGCAGTCGGATCAGGCCCCTGTCCCTGTGGCCCTCTGGAGGGCGGTATGCAGTTGGCCTGAGCGATGCCCACACCCTTTCCAGCCTCGCCTCACAGTTCATTTCAGACCCAGCATGGACCGCCACACATGTACACGCACCCGTGTGGGAGTGGAGTCAGTGCTGATGCGCTGAGTACGCGGCGAATGCCACGCTCCTTGGGGCCTCGCTGTCCTGTGCCCACCCCACTAGGGGCTTGTCCTGCGAGCACAAACCCACGGTCAGACACGGGGGCAGGGCCTCCATGCACAGCGTTTACCAGGAAGGCTGTGCACGCTGTTGTCCGCACACACGGTCAGACGGCCCAAACTGGGAGAGGCCCGGCTGTGCTCCCTCACGGGCCTGGCACCAGCACAGGGGAGAGGAAGGTGACTTTACCTAAACAGACGGGTTAGAAACACCGTGTCTGCCCACACAGCCCACTGCTGCCCAGTGCGACGGTCCCTCTGACGTTCCCCTGCGGCCCCTCTGGGGCCTACATCTCGCACCTGGAGTCTTGGGCCCCCTGGGTCTGGTGAAGCAAGTGTTCACTTGTGACGAGGACGAGGATGAGGAAGGTGAGACGACCTGGGATGTCCTGCACTTGGCATCCCATGCCCGCGGTGTGCCCACACTCAGGATCTCAAGGCCCTGCACTCTAGGCGTCGGCTAGCCCAGGGCCACAGGGGGATGCCTGGTGACGGGCACTGTCGGCCTGCTGCCTCGGCTGCCCCCCCATGCCCCCCGCCTCCCGCACCCAGCTGGTTAGCTTCTCGCTTGTCCTCCTTCCTGACACCCGAGCGGGTACCGCGCGGTGGCACTGGGACCCAGCGCCCCACGCCGCTCACCTGTAGCCCCTGCCCACAGACTTGAGGCAGTCCAGGAACTGCGGCACCTCGTAGTTGACCAGCGTCTTCAGCTGCCCGTCGCCCACGCCGTCCCGGTACACGATGATGCGGCTGGGCATGTAGGTGTTACAGCTGTTCCAGGCCCGCAGGGCGGCTGCGGGGGTCGGGGCACGGGTTGGCACACTCACGCCGCCACTGCCCACGGCTGGCACACCCACACCCCCCACGGCTGGCACACCGCCCACAGGACCCCCACCACAATCTGGGCACACCTTCCGATAGCACAGCTGCAGGGACCCGTGCACACGGACACCAACCTTGCAGGCAGACCTTGAGCCCGTCCACCAGCTCCTGTCCTCGGTCTTGAAACACACAGCGAGAGAACCAGCTACTCAAGAGAGAAAACAGCAGAGGTGAGAATGCCCCGTCCAGTCGTCCTTCCTTTTGGTTACTCCATATTTATCTCCTCTGAGCAATTCATGACCTTTAACCTCCCGAAGATGTCTGCTAACATCTCCAAATACTTTCTGAACTCAAACAGAAGGAACAAGATGCAGCAAATCCTTCATAAACTCCACAAACTCAGTTTCTTGTTTTATAAGTCAATGCTGTATTTCTGCTCCTGAGGAGAAGATAACTTTCCAGCCATAACACCCACAGAGCCACCTAGGTTCCCACCTCCACATGCACGGAAGCACATTCTACTGCCAGAGCCCCGAAAGCCACTTGTCACCCATTTCACGCCTCTGACAGATGAAGAGCCTGGAAATGTGCCCGTTACTGATGCCAACATGTCGCTATGCCTTCCATTTTCATTCTGTCCTATTCTTGGCAATTCTCTTAGTCCTGATCAAGGCACCGAAAAATAATTTCACTGTGTTGGAATACAAGTGACTGGGTAAACGGAAGTGGGTTTTCCAAAACAAAGTCAGTGTGAAAACTTAAAATTACATTTCATTCATCATAAAATGTATCAAAGAAAGAAGCTTTTAGAGATGGTCACATTAAACGAGATATGTCCCCCCCTCCCCCACCAAATGAAAATAATATTAAAATATCCTGAAATACAGGGCCAGTGAAGAAAGAAAAAACTTGTAGGAGAGCTAATAACCATTTTTCTTTCCTGCCTTTTGGGCTGGATCAAATGTCAGAGAAATCAGCCAGTTGAAAATAAGGAATGGCACAGTTCCTGTCCCTCCCAGCCCNCCGGCATGGAAACGCATGCTCGTGTGAGTGTGTGCCGTTCTCCACCCACTATTGGGAGGCTCTTGATTCTAACAGAGCCCTGGGGCTGGGCCCTGCTGGAAACCAGACTGACCACATGGGTCTTTTTGTAGCTGAGCCCCCAGCCAGACCTGGGGACACCATTAGCCTTGCTATGTGGCAGGGGCGGAGGGAGCAGCACAGAAGGGGTCTCTGGGCGCATTTGCATGCATGCACATGGTGGGCACCAGTCTCCTGTTTATTCAGACTGGCTTTAGTGAGGGCTAGTAGGTTAGGGAGGCTGGCTGAAGCCCTTCCCCCTGTCCCCCCCTCCCCCCTCACCCCAAAGCCACTGCCACTTGCTGCTGCTGTTAGTACTGCACAAAAATAGTGGCCTGTTTAATGTCCGTTGAATGAATAAATGCTGAAATACACGTCTATGGCTGCATGACCCTGAGTGGGTCCAAGGTCTCTGACACCCAGTGCCTTATTGTTACGCTAGAACCAATACTTCTCGCCTCATAGGAGCGTCGTGAAAATTAAACGAGACGGTCCGTCAACCAGAGTTAAAGGTAGAGAAAGTTACAGGTACTTGGTTTTATGTATTTTAATAAACACAGGACCTTATTCACTTGATAAGTGAGGATGCATGGGAAATTTTTGCTGTGTTAAATTTTGTTGACGAGATCCAGGGATCATGACATTTTAATTGGTTGAAGTTTACCTTTGTGCTTCAAGGGGGGTTTCGGATGCAAATCACTGTGTGAATGTGAGATTGCAGGGACCGATGTAACCTGCTTAAGAGAGGGAAGTATCCCCAAACAGATGGCACATTGCATTGTGTGTCAACTGCTAATGGTATATCACCTGCATCTGTTTAAGTCGGACTCTATTTGTAAACTCGTCATTAGCAGTTATCCTCGGGGCCAAGCCCTGATGGCACTGGTGATTTTAATCACACACTTAAAGAATATTTAAAACAAATTCTTCAAAAACTTTTACCAAAAAAAAAAAAAGAGCAAGAAGAAACATTTCCCTTTTTTTTTTTTTAATGAGGCCAGCATAACCCTGGTAACGAGACCCATCAAAGCTATGACAAGAAAAGAAAATGACAGACCAATAGTCTTTGTGAATATGGGTGCAAAAGTCCTCCACAAAAATATCAGCAAACTGAATCCTGGGCATCTAAACAACAGTTACACACCACAACCAAGTGGGACATATCCCAGCATGCCAGGTGGACTTAACATCCACAAATCAATGAAAGTGATACACCATCCCCATAAAGGACCCAAACACATCATCATCACAATACAATAGATACAGAAAATGCATTTGACAAAATTCAGAATCCTTTCCTGATAGAACACGCAACAACCTAGCAATGGAAGGGGGAACTTCTTCAATCTGATGAAGGCCTATGAAACACCTCCAGCTAATATTGTATTTACTGGCAGAAGTCTGGGGGCCTTTTTTCTAAGATCAGGAATGAAACAGGGATTTCTTCTGACCACTTCTGTTCAGAAGTGTACAGAGGGTCGAGTTGGAGCAATTACTCAAGAAAATGAAA